ACTACTTTTTAGCCTTAGTAATCTAAACGAAACTCGTAGTATTCGTTAAACCGAGAAGTTCGATAAAAAGAACGCCAAAATCTGACTTCGTATGAGGAAGTTATGATTTTTCGAAGTTTCAGCTTAGCAGTAGACATCTAAAAACTCGAATTTTAGATCGAATGATTTTTAGCCGACACAACCTAAACGAGAATCGAAGGTCTCGTCATTAGTAGTACAACGGTAAAAAGTCTGACGAAAACGGACGTCAGATGAAGAAGTTATGAATTTTTAACGGATTTCCTGTCCCGGTCTGTTAAAAATAATAATATAAAAATTAAATCAAAATTAGCCGACGAAGTCTAAACGGAAGTTGTAGAGCATAATTTTACCTACGCGTGCATATAAAGAACGTAAAAAACGGAGCTCGTATGCGAAAGTTAAGGATTTTAGAAGTTTTGGCGCGAAAACCGAGAAATTTCGCATAGATAAGCTTCACCCGGAAATGCCACGTCACCCTCGCTGCATGCTTGCCACGTGTCCGAACTGCTGAGTCACCGGAGGCCAGCTGGCGAGGCGTGTCATGTTCTTCGCGAGTCCGAGGTTCGGTCCAATAGGAGGCTGCCCCGTGTCCGATCTCGGTGTGTCATCAGCAACGTGTCCGAACCGAGGTGCTGTCCGAAGCGGTCCAATCAGAAGCCTCCAGCGAGGCCCTCGCATGCGCAGCCATGTGCGAGCCTTCCCTGCGAACCCTCGGATCTGCGACGCGTGGCTTCTTCTCATCCGTCCGATCAGCAGCTTCGGACCCTATAAATAGGAGAGTACGAACCCTCCCGGCTAAAGTTAGAAAATTGGCAATTTTGGCCCCTTTTTCAATATTTTAGCCATTTTGACCTCCCCCGATGCCCCGAGTTCATTTCCAACGCCCGGAATAAGCCACGGAGTGCCCGAGAAGCCCGGGAAATTTATTTTTTCGTTTTCGAAGCCCGACCCTCGCAGAGCCCGGTTTCTCAATAAAACTTCCGGTTTTATTAGAAACGATCATTCTAGGCAACGAAGTGCTGTCCGGTTATCGTTAAAACATGTGAGTGTGTAGTCACTTTCATCTTACACATAAATATGAAGTATTTTATATAAAATACGTGATATGTGTATATATGTTGTTTGTTTATTTGAGATGGGTGTTGAATGAATGTTTTATACATGTTTAAAATGATTTAAAATGTATATATATTTTATCTGCAAATATGTTGGGTAAAACATGGGTAGATAAAGTATGAGGGATAAAAGTACAGTATAGATGTACGTTGGTAGCTATGAATTTAGTACAGTATAGATGTACGTTGGTAGCTACAGATTTAGTATGTTGGCAGCTATGGACTTAGTGCCTGTTGTATAAATCTTGGCGACGATGTGACTTCGTATTTATTAGATAAACCCTGGCGACTATGAGACGTAGTGCCTATTAGATAAACCCTGGCGACCATGAGACGTAGTGCCTATTGTATAAACCCTGGCGACTATGAGACATAGTGCCTATTGTATAAACCCTGGCGACTATGAGACGTAGTGCCTATTGTATAAACCTTAGCGACTATGAGACGTAGTGCCTATTGTATAAACCCTGGCGACCATGAGACGTAGTGCCTATTGTATAAACCCTGGCGACTATGAGACGTAGTGCCTATTGTATAAACCCTGGCGACTATGAGACGTAGTGCCTATTGTATAAACCTTAGCGACTATGAGACGTAGTGCCTATTGTATAAACCATGGCGACTATGAGACGTAGTGCCTATTGTATAAACCCTGGCGACTATGAGACGTAGTGCCTATTGATAAACCCTGGCGACTATGAGACGTAGTGCCTATTGTATAAACCTTAGCGACTATGAGACGTAGTGCCTATTGTGTAAACCCCGGCGACTATGTGACGTAGTGCCTGTTGTATGAAACTTGGGCAGCGATGGACTTTGTGCCTATTCCTTAGTATGAATCCTTAGGAATGAGTGAGATTTGATTCTTAGGGTAAATCCTTAAGAAATAAATAAGATAATGGGGATTGGGTAATTGGGTTGATTGTTTGATGTTTAAGCATAATAAATTATTTATTGTGGGTTGAAAACCCTATATGCTCACCAGGCTCCCAAGCCTGACCCACTCAGTTTGTTTGTATCACAGGTATCGATACGAAGTTACTTTACACTGAGAGATTAAAAGAGATGTAGATCACTAGTGTAAGTGAGTGTAAGTTCTGTTTATGCTTATGTTTCTGTATTGACGATGACATCCCAATGGTTTAAGTGAATAAAATACATTTCTTCAGAAATGATTTGATAATATAATTATCATGTTTTTATGGGAACAAATTCCGCAACACCTTTTAAAAGGATTACTCAGATTTTATTTTAAAAAGCATAAACGAAAATCGGTCTTTTCTGGCCGAGAAATTAGGGGATGTCACATTAGGGTCTTGGGATTAAGCTCTCTTTAGCAATGCAAAGGCATAAAGTTGGAGACTTTATGAATTAGACATCTTTTAGGGTTAGATTTGAGGTTGGGGTAAAGTGTCTTAATGATTAAGACCTCAAAAGTTGAGTTTTGAGATTGAGCCGAGTATGCTGAGCGTAATTCTGGCTATGCCCAAAGTAGCCAGTTGCGAACCCGATTCCTTCTAGCGTTGTGCTCTAGGCCCAATGTGGAGCTGAGTACGCGACGTGTAAGGTCAGAGTGTTGACCTTTGACTTTTATTTACTTTTGACCAATTGTGCCTTTAGATGGAATTATAAGGGGTTTTGGTCTTGGAAGGGGAAAAATGTTCTTTTGACCTAAATGTGGATTAGACTTGACTTGGGACTAGTGGAGTATGGAAAATTACCTTAATTGTTAATTATGGTTAATTGGTGTAATTAATAGGCGGAGTCTAGTTCCGGTAGTTCGGGTGTGAGTTCTATCAGTCATCTATTGAAGGTGAGTCTCCTCATTATTCTTACATGTGTGGTACTTATATATATATATATATATATATATATATATATATATATATATATATATATATATATATATCCCAGTTGCTGAACAAATGAGATAGAAGGGAAGAAAAAGATTCCCTACACTCAATGTAATGGTTGTATGTGATTTTGACATGTTTTTACGTTCATATCCGTCGGGTGAGAAAGATCAACGCATGATACTCGAGTGTTCCTTCATGCAATTGAGACACCTTCTATGAATTTTCCTAATCCCCCAGAAGGTACAACTAATTTGATATTGTTTGTAATTTGTGAACTAACAATCATTTAATTTTTTTTTCATATAGGAAAATATAACATAATAGACAAAGGATACCCAGATCGAAAAGGATATCTGACATCATATCCACATCGTAGATATCATCAGTCATAGTTTGAACATGTTGTAACGCCCGGTTCCCAGGTAAATTTCTCAAGTTTTAAATAATTGTTTATTGCATGAAAAGCCATTACGCTCAGCTTAATTGATAGTTACGCTTGGCATAACTCATTTAATTAGATTGCGGGATCTTTCGTGTACGCTGGACGTACGTATGAGTACGCTTAACGTATTCATGCAGAGTGCAAAACCCTAAATTTTAGGGTTGGTCCCTGTTTAAACACCTTATGACCTCATGTCCTATCTCATCACCAACCTCCATTGTCCCAAAGCAGTCCCCTCGAAACCATAGCCTTCATTTGTGAGATCCTTGAGCTATTGAGTGATTTGGTGTGTTTTTGGTGCTTATTGAAGAAAAAGGGACTCATTGAAGAAGTGTTGATTGACTTGGAGCTTGTAGATCCCAGAATTTATTCATCTTGATCATCCTTCTGGAGGTATAAAGTCTCAACCTTTATGGTTCATTCCTTAGATCTAGTTTTGATAAGGGTTTTGGCATATTTGGTCCCTTGGGTTGATTCTTGTGATTAAAAGCTACTCCAGAAGTGTGGGTTAACTTTTCGTGATGTTTCTGAGGTCCATTGAGCATAAAATTGTATCTTGATGGATTTGATTCAACCATGCATGAATTGTTGTTCATAATGTGAAGTTAGGAAGTTAGAGTTTGATTTTGGACCTCATTGATCCATGCAAATGCATAAGTGCTTAATATGGACTTTTGGGCATCAGGGGAGTACGTTGGGAGTACCCTTTAGGTACGCTCAACGTAACATGTTTAGCCCCCTATTTCCTTATCTATTTAGTCTAGTACGTTGGGTGTAACAGGGTGGTACACTTGACGTACTCACCAGAAGGGCTTTTGTGTCATTTTAGGCCTTGGGTCATATTGGGTTTTGGGCCATAATGGTTGGGCCAAGTATAAGAAGGGTAAAATTGTCTTTTATCCTTATTATGATTGATTATGATTGGGACCTTTATGTGTGGGTTATTACCTTAAATAGTAATTAGGGTTAATTTGAACGTGTTCAGTTTGAGGAGCCATCGTAGTAGCAACTTGTATGTGTGACAGTGTTTGCAGGTCGAAGACACTAATGTCGGCCCATTGATTTATTTTTATAAGATGCTAGTTGTCTGTGTGACTTTTGCATGTATTCGACAATCATACCATGAGATACGAGAAATTTGTGATAACATTGCGAATACGACATGGGCACGAAATGTATCATCTAATTTTCACAAAAATGTCATATTTTATTAGCTAGCTTATCAGCTACCAACTAGCTTTTCAGCTACCAGTTAGTTGTTCAACTAGAAGTTGAATTTTCTAGCTTTAGTGCAAATTTTATGATTTTTAAAACACATTATTAAATAATAATAATTTCTAAGTATACGTAAGAGACCTTTGTGTATATGCAACAATTAAATTATTACTATGCCATATCCGTCAAATATAAATTGGATCGGTGGTTTATAAGTCTAGATATTTTATCCTTAGAAAAGTGGCTTTTAATTAGTTTTACATTTAGGCTTATAACATGATATAAGTTTAATATGGGATGAGTTCATATCATAAATAAACACAATACATGTTTTAATTGATGACAAAACCTAACCCAAAAGCCATTTATAACGACATCGTTTTAAATTCTACATACACAAATAGATCAAATATATTTGATTTTAATACAACTATTCTATTCCAAAAAATCATGAGATGGGTTCAGTCCAAAGTTGCGCATTTTTGACCTTCGAAACACTCTCCAACACCTCAAATGGAACAATGTCTCCCATTACGATCACCATCTTGGTTTCCAGGTCCACTTGGTAGGATGTCACTCCTGTTTTTATTACCAATAAATTCAAATAAAATTATTATTATTCTTCTTATTGGGACAATAAATATTCATCAATTATTAGAAATTGACAAAATATAAAGTGTATATATCTATTATATGTTACTGAAATTATTTTATCATACACTTTATAATCTAAATGTTACATACATAGATAGATAAGGATAGAAAATTTTGATAGTTGGAATTTCAGAGGCATGAAGAATGTGCGTTTGTACTTTGGTTCTTTTCTACTTCACTCATATCCAGAAAAATCAGAAAATACACCATTATTTTAATTTATCTAAAAGAAATATAGTATTTTACTTATTAATATTTATCAATTTAACTAATTTATATAAAAGAATCATTAATTCTATCCATATTTATTAATTAATAATTAGTCCATGATATTAAAAACGTTGGGTTTGATCCACATATGCTTTTATACAAAGTACCAGACATACCAAGCGACTAAGATTTTTAATACTCTCCGTAAAAAACATAAAATGGGAAAGTAAATATTATTGTTAAAAGTTAAAACTGTTAGAAAATATTTATTAAAAAATGTTACCTTCCATCTTGGCGATGTGTCTTTGTACCTTCCTTGCACAACCATTGCAATGCATGGACACCCTTAGCACCACCATCTATACATAATGCAATGATAACAACAAACATTTTTTAAGCAAAACCAATATACACAAATATAGTCTATTCAATGTAAGCTGTAAATTGAAAAAAATATTATACATACAAACTCTACCATTGTTACCAATTTATATAACATTTTATAAAGAACAAGAAGAGACGATGAACATCATAGATTCATAGTTTATTAGAATAGTTAAATGTGGTGGAATGCAAAGTTGTCATTCAATGAAAGAAGCTCATCCATAATAAAACACGGATATGAAATTCAATGATCATTGCATTCTTTAATGATTTTTTTAAAGTTTAAAATAAATGTTTTATTGAACTTTTGTATAGTTCAATGTTAGCAAATATATAGCAAAAATAAAATGATAATTTGACAAACTAGTAAACTCAATAAAGACATCCATAATGTATTAAACTTTAATAGAGTTCAATACATCCTGTATCATTGGTTAATAAAATTCATATTTCATTATTGGTAATATGATGAAAACATATTTCATATTATTTGAATAAGCTCTTTTTGATATATTAGAGAGTAAAAGCATGTTTATATACCCAAACTCATGTATACCGTGATACATGTTAATACCATTTACTTTCATTTTCGATCTTTATTTTCTTGGTTCCAGTTTAGTTTAACTTATGTTGGGAAACATGAAAGCCAGATTCACAAAATGAGTTTGAAACAATTTTCTTAAACAGACGATAAATACCAGTAACTCAACATACTTCACATGTAAACAGCGGTTTGAAAAGAGGATTCCATACTGATAGATTCTCATATCGATCCTACATGATACATGTAAGAAGACATCTTTGTGAACGATTATGGAACTCAAGACATTAATTACCTTTGGCTTTAGAAAGAAGGCAAGAGTCTGAGGTTTATCCGATGCATCTTTGGATTGATCGACAAGTGGTTCTGTTTCAAACTCAGAATCATCTTGGGTTTCAAAATTTTTAATGCAACAAAGACAAGAACTTGCACCACCATTTGAGAGACACAAACTGTCCAATAATTTGCCAAAACACATAATCGTCTTCCCCATTTCTTTTAACAAAGAAAACACAATATGAAATACAAGATTTTTAAGCTGCATATATATAAAGATTCATTGGGGAATGACCCAAGAAAGTTTGGGGGGAGAGAAATGAGTCAAGACTCAAGTTTCAAGGGGAGATCAAATGTTTGAAAAAGGGTGTTCTTTTATAGTTATAAAATATGATGAATTACTAGTAGATTTTTGTCATGTGATAAGGTACAAAAGACAAGTGAGAGGGCATCTAGTTTCATGTGGTTATGTGCTTTATAATTGGAGCAAGAATTTATAATTGTGCATATCTCACATGATCAAGTTGTTAAGATAACCAAAGAGACAAGTGCCACAGCTAGCCTAAATTCATAAATACATGTGACGGTGATAGGTGTTAAGATAGATAAGGGTATTTCAAAATTATATATATATATATATATATATATATATATATATATATATATATATATATATATATATATATATATATATATTTGCAATTTAAGAGTCAAGTGAGATTGTTATTATCAGATTGATATAAGATTCCAACCCAAAACTATCAATTGTTGTATACAAATTAATCATGTGGAGAACTATCAACTATTTTAAGAACATTTCTTTTTCTTTTGAAGGATAAATGATTCCAAAACTCTTTACTTTATTTGTTGTTAATCAATTTGATGTCTCATGTGAAAACTGTATTATTAATTTTCAGTTTACTAATATTGTTGGTTTATATGTTATCACTTATCACAATAATATGGTTTCTTTATTAATTTGGTACATAAATTTAAATTATTTTTTGGCTTTAATTAGAATATTTAGCATATGATATCACCAGCACATTTCTTAAATTATCCAGATATTGTAATTTTGAAAGGGTAGGCGTGTCATGATAGTGTTAAATATTTATAAGGAAGCGACCTTATAATTTTGATATAAATTCGAGAATATGTAGAAAAAAAAATATTCTTTTCCATAAAAATAAATTAATTTGAATCGTCCCTTTAGGCCACGAGAGGTCTCATCCGTGTCATGAACATCAAGTACATTATATACATTAATACTTTCAATTATTACTATTCATGTTTCCTAGATAAATTTTTTAAAATATGATATGTTCATGATATTTATAGCATGTAATTGAGGTGACATATGTTTGAAACATGGCAACTCTAGATCCTAAAACGAGTATTATCATCGATTAAGAATGAACGTTCATTGAAATGATTAATATGATGGCGTAACACTATAGTAACTTTTTTGTGACAATTATTTGAAGAAAAAATAAACATAAAGTAGAAAACGTATGGACAAATGTTTTTTTTTTTTTTTTTTTTGAAGTTTGGTACGTTTGTTTGGAATAACAAGAAGAATAGATTAAGGAGCAAATAAACAAAGTTAGATATAACAAAAAGTAATTGTACCTTACATCTTAAAACCATGTAAGCTGTAGCTTTTGGGCCGCTTATATTAACTATTAGCAGATAGTTTAAATATAAAGTCTTATCTGTTTTAGTTGCTGTACTTATCTATACACCTATGTAATATATATATATATATATATATATATATATATATATATATATATATATATATATATACACACACACGTGAATAATAAATCAGCTATATTCAGGGGGAATTATTATCTACATGGTATCAACCTGGTAACCTAATCGGCGCCACTTACCTCCCTCCATCATAATCTTCTTGTTTCGCTATGGCTTCTTCTTCCGAAATCATCCGTCTGTCTACAATTCTTCATCTTCTCACCATCAAACTCTCCTCCACAAATTATCTTCTCTGGAAGAATCAGATTCAGCCACTGTTGTCCTATCAGAATCTCCTGGGACATATTGATGGGTCCTCCCTCGCTCCTTCTACTACGATTACAGTTGAAGGTAAATCTTCTCCTAATCCGACTTATTTAGCCTGGCATGAGGCTGATCAACGGGCTCTTCTCATCTTACAATCCTCCTTGTCGGAGGAGGCTATGGTTGAATCTCTTGGCTTAGCTACTGCCTGTGAAATCTAAAAGGCTTTGGAGCAAGCCTACAACCATGACTCACGTGAGAGGTTACAGACTCTACGTGATTCATTGAGACAACTAAAAAAGGGATCTTCTTCTGTTAATGAATTTGGCAAAAAATTCAAGGCACTTTGTGATCAATTGGCGGCCATTGGACATCCAATGGACGACTCCAACAAGGCTCATTACTTCTTATGTGGTCGTGGCTCCACATTTGAGTCGTTCTCCACCTCTCACCGAACAGCCCCTGTCTATCCCTTCTTTCGTAATTTGCTCTCTCAAGCGGAGAGCCATGAGATGTTTATGTCTTCTCTTCACGGTTCTCCAGCCACAACAATTTACTTGCCTTCACTTAATTTGATGAACCACTCAGTTCATCCCCAACTCAGTCGCAAGCAGACAACTCTAGCCCTCATGAGGATTCTCCTATGACTCTTCATCACCGCTGCTCACTTTGTCCGCCAATCGCTCCCTCACCAGCAACCGAAACTGCTGCTACTGCTGCCCCATCTATGCTACCAAAATCACCAGTGTTCGACTCCTCTACACCACCTGCCACACCGCAACCCACTCCCTCCAGGTCATCAACTCCCTCGCAGTCTATAGTTCCTTCAACACATCCCATGATCACGAGGGGTAAAGCTGGAATTGTTAAACCCAAGCACTTTGCGGATTTGTCCTCTCTAGGCACTACCGGTCTCGTTCATTCATTGTTTACATCTACTGTTCCAAAGGCTTTTAAATCAGCATCTAAACACCCACATTGGTTAATGGCCATGGATGAAGAAATGTCACAACTTCGCGATAATGGCACATAGGACTTAGTTCCGCGTCCCGCTCATTCTAATGTTGTTGGGTCCAAATGGATTTTCCGTACCAAGTTTCAATCGGATGGTACAATTGAAAGATACAAGGCACTCAGGTACCCGGACTCAATTTTTCGCATACATTCAGCCCCGTAGTTAAAGCTTCAACAGTCCGAATTGTACTCTCTCTAGCGATCATGCAACAATGGCCATTACATCAACTCGATGTTAAAAATGCATTTTTAAATGGCATGCTCTCTGGAACTGTGTTCATGGAACAACCTCCGGGGTTCATTGATGAAAAGTATCCTTTGCATGTTTGTCGTCTTAAAAAAGCGCTTTATGGACTAAAGCAAGCACCGAGAGCTTGGTTTCAAAGGTTAAGTACCTTTCTTCAAGCGCTTGGGTTTTCATGCAGTCGTGCGGATACATCCTTGTTTGTGTTCAAACAAGGATCCACTTTGCTATACCTTGTTGTGTATGTTGATGACATTATTCTCACCGGGAATAACTCTAGCATTATCCGCAACTTTATCAATCAGATCAACACGGAGTTTGCCACCAAGGATCTTGGACGTCTCAATTACTTTCTTGGTCTTGAAGTACCATACACTGACACTGGTCTCTTTCTTACACAAGCTAAGTATGCACATGACATACTTACTCGTGCTGGATTGCTTGATTCCAAACCTACTACCACACCCTTATCGCCCACTGATCACCTCCTCAAAATAGGTGACTTATTCTCGGATCCGACACTGTTTCGATCCTTGGTAGGAGCTCTTCAGTATCTCACGATCACAAGACCAGATCTCTCATTCGCTGTTAATCAAGTCAGTCAGTTTTTGCAAGCACCCACTACCGATCACTTTCAAGCGGTGAAGCGTATTCATCGTTATATCAAATGCACACTCTCTTATGGCTTGCATTTTCGTCGACCCCAGTCCTCTTCTATCCTTGGTTACTCGGATGCTGACTGGGCTCGTTGTATAGAGACGAGACGATCCACATATGGTTACTCCATTTTTCTAGGTGGTAACCTTGTCTCCTGGAGTGCCAAGAAGCAACCTTCGTATCCAGGTCAAGTTGTGAATTCGAATATCGAGCCATGGCGAACACCGCTTCGGAAATAGTTTGGATAACTCACTTGTTACGCGAACTTCATGCTTTACCATCTACAGTTCCGACTTTTCTGTGTGACAACAAGAGTGCTCTGTTCCTTAGTCAAAATCCAATTGCACACAAACGGGCAAAACACATGGACATTGATTATCACTTTGTTCGCGAACTTGTAGCTTCTGGCAAACTTAAAATAGAACACATTCCTATACACTTGCAACTAGCTGATATATTCACTAAAATTCTTCCCAGACCCCTCTTTGAGCAGTTTCGTTCCAAGCTAAGAATTGGCCCACCACCCATTAGCTTGACGGGGGGGGGGGGGGTATTAGCAGATAACTTTTATCATCTTAGTTTAAATATAAAGTCTTATCTATTTTAGTTGTTGTACTTATCTTTAAACCTATGTACTCTATATATATATACGTGAATAATAAATCAGCTATATTCAGGGGGAATTATTATTTACATTAACCCATTTAAGTAATTATGTTATAAATGAATTGCTAAACACTATCAGTATTTTAGGTGTAACCGTATTTTGAATCATCTATCTTATGTGTGAAATTTTACACCTTAACCATTAGACTCTCATCGCGAGGCAACTTACATTTTCATATTCAGCCATCGAGGTCCCAAGAAAGTAAAAAAATATCGTTATCCTTATCCCAATAGATTACTATACCTTTAATATCGTTATCCTTATCCTAATTATTAGTCTCCTAGTTTGTTTATGATTGTAATTAGTTCTTGTATTTAAACCCCCAGTTAATGAAAAGTCAAGCCTTGAAATCATCGGTTTTTTTAATGGTATCAGTGCGGGTTGTAAAATATGTGGTAAGAAGTCGCTAGAGATGGCGGGAGACAAACCCGAATCATCGAAGGATGGTGGGACCATCTATTCCAACTCGCCCTACTACATTTATTCCTCAGAGTACCCAGACAGATGCACGTGAATGATGTTTAGACAGACGTTACTATAATGATTGGGCTCAAGAAATGAATCACTTTCTTTTCGCCAAGAACAAGGCCGACGTCATCTATTGAACAACTGAGAATGTAACATCCCATTTTTTTCACAACCAAACTTTTCATTTTTATTTTTGGTAAAACATTGTTTTCATAAAAACCAAGTCAGGAAAAACACGAGTATCAGATACAGTCATCCCAAAAATAAGAGTTTCATAATAATGCGAAATCTCAAAAGTTGTCGATGACAGTGTGTCCAGTCAAGCCTTCGCCTTCCCACGATCTTCTGAAGTACCCAAAACACATTTAAATCCACAACTGTAATCATAAAACTTAGTAAGTTCCCTAAAATATCACATATAACACATCATAATTATAACACCCGCAAATTCAGGCTACACATAATAAGTAAAAATTATTAAAATTAAAATCCTCGAATAGGATAATCTATAGCCGTGCGCGCCGCAGACTATATAATATAAGTTTCGCATTAGGAAAAATAGGAAAAATCATATGAATCATCCGTAAATCGTAAAAATAAGTGCGCCAAAACATATATATATATATATATATATATATATATATATATATATATATATATATATATATATATATATATATATATATATATATCAAGGTTGTAGCTCGGCGGTCGACTGGGGTCAAGCGATTAATCGGTTTGGCGGGGATTAATCAGAGGATTAATCGGGGACCATAAATTACTAATAAAACTATTTTAAAACTTAATATATCCTAAGAAAAAAATAGTATTTGAAAATTTAAAATTTTTAAATTTTGAAATTTTGAAATATTTGGTATAATATTTGAAAATTTGAATATTTAAAAATTTAAAATTTTGAATTTTTGTAAATTTTGGTGTATTATTTGAAATTTTGAAAATTTGAATTTTTTAAAATCTTCCCGCCAAGGACCGCCGAGGACCGCCTAGCCCGAGTTTGACCGATACTGACCAATTTCCGCCAAGCACCCCTAATCGTAATCAGTTGCAGACCGCCTAGCGCCTAGGCGCCGCCTAGGTCGATATTTACAACACTGATATATATTGAAAGTATACGTCCACGTAATCCTTAAAATATAAATTTCGTAGAAATCCGAGTTCATATGAATGAGATATGAATTTTACAAGATATAAAAATCAACCGCGTAATTAAAATTAGTAACGTAAAAATGTACGAAGAGAATGGTTGACTTTTAGGTAAAGTCACCAAAATCAAAATCGCATTACTCTTTAAGATAGTAATTTTGGTAAAAGGAACACCAAAATTGGACTCCGTACGAGTGAGTTATGATTTTTGCAAAATCATTAAATCATAAAAATTAGGGCTAAAAATAAATTTAGAAATAGCTGATGAAGCCTAAATGAAAGTTACAGTACTCGTTGATAGCTACACGTGGAAATAAAGAACGTAAAAAACACTAGAGATAAGTTGGTGTCACCTACGAATAAATTTGGTATTAAAAGTTGGTTAAGGTTCTGTAATCTAGTCTAGGGATAAACTTAGACTTGTGGAAGGTACCTAGTTCAATTAAGTTTGATATAAGACAGTCTCATTAAGAGAATATGCATAACCTAGGAATAGACAGTAAAGTTCTGTTCTGTGGCACTTTCAGGTGTCGATGTACGGTAGCTCCATACGGGAGTACGATATAGTATTACCCTTGGGATAACCAAATATGGTGTGTCCCGATTAGACAACTGTAATGATATGTCTGCATATTCTTAGATAACCAAAAATGGTAGGTCCGGATCCGACAACTGTAATGGTATGTCTGCATATTCTTTGTGACTTACACATGCCAAGGAAGCCCTAGCTATGTAGTCAATCTTTTAACACTTCATCAGGCAAGATAATTTTCTCGTAATAATAATGGCCTAGGATCTGTGAGGATCGGTAGGATTAGATATGTAGGAATGTAAGCCTATATGGATATAGTATGATAACGGTCGGTTTTGCAGGTCTGATAATTAAGGAATATTATCGTAACAATATTGTGGGATTGAAATACCTATGTATCTCACTAGGTTTCATCAACCTGACCCACTCAGTTTATATGCATCACAAGTATCAAGACTTAAGCTACTGGAACTTGATTAGGATGATGAGTGATTATGAGACAACTTGCAATAGTATTCAGGACCATCAGGTCTTTATGTTGTAACTTATGCATCTGTATTGATTGTGGCATCCTTAGGATTTTAACATTTTGGAAATAAACATTTGTAATCAAAATGATCTTTTGTATTGGTATTTTCTACAAATATAAATAAATTATGTTTAAAGGGTAAAAAAAGTTTTAATTGGTTCTGAAAATTTGAGGATATCATAGTTGGATTCAGAGCATTAGTTTAAGCGAACTATGAATTTGTAGGATTTCTAGACTTAAACTTAGAGGTTAAGCAATGATGGTGAGTACATAGGGTTTTCATCGTCAATACAGAAACATGATAAATACGTTATCAAAGCAATGATAAATACGTTATCAAAGTTTGTTCCCAGAAAAACATAGGTTAAGCAATGATGGTGAGTACATAGGATATCATAGTTTGTTCCCAGAAAAACATGATAAATACGTTATCAAAGCATTTCCGAATAAATGTATTTTTATCCATTTTAAAACATTTGGGATGTCATCGTCAATACAGAAACATAAGCATAAACAGAACTTACATTCATTTACACTAGTGATCTACACCTCTTTAATCTCTCAG